TTTGCTCCGAGGTGGCCTTTCGGCCGAATCTTCAACATCTTGCTCTGCTGGAAAAAAATCAAACGTGAACCCTGGCGAAACATGTAGGCGATCTGTAGACATCTCAGCCAAAGCTGTGACTGTTCTCAAAGGTCGAACAGCTGATTCGCACTCGTTCGGGAGGCAGACTGCCCAAAAGGTCCAAAAATTCAACATTTGTCGAAAGAGAGGAAGATCAAGATTTTTTTGCCATAAACAGTGGTCTCAGGGTGCTCATCTCTGTCTCTGTTTCCTTTCTTTGGCCGACGTCCGGAACTCCCAAGTAATAACCGCTGTATAAATAGCCGAGACATGGCGCACGCCAGAGGAAAACGTCTGGAGCGGGCGCTTCATCGAAATCCACGAACGGGAAGGGCAAGGCCAAGGAGAAGGGACGTGGACCGGTCCGCGACCAGGATCAGGTGACAACGAAGCGAGCGCGGTCTAGTACGGAGCCCCCGGCTTTGACGTTGGACCTAAACGGTGGCGCCGGGGGCTCCGACGGGTCCGATTCATGCTCGTCCCGTCAGGGCAGGCGGAGGAGATCTGCGGTCAGCGTCGACGACTCTTCCGATGACGATGAAGAAACGAACGTGATGGACCAAGNGTAAGTACAACTGCCCCCCCTGCCCCCACCCTCACTCTAGCGTGGGATGCCAGGATACAAAATCGGTATTTATTTCTCTGCTGCTCCCCGCACATGGACACTGTTACAATGCGCACATGCGTTCATGTCAATCGTGCGATTTCAGGTTCGAGCTCTTCTTGAACACGTGGATGTTGAAGGCAGCGTGCTCGATTGCTGTGGCGCCGGACAGGATGCAGTCAGCACGGTGCTGACAGCGCACGGTCTCCGAGTTACTACGAACGACTTAATCCCCGGGTAGGTACATTGGGTAGCCTCGCAGCCTGCTAAGGGCCAGGTCACGGGTTCGAGTCCCGGCAAATTGAGTTTTTTTCTCACTAAACAAATCCTGGTCTAGGATGAAAGCGACGCGCTGCAAAGCTCGTTTGTTAGTAAACCATAATCGACTTCGTAAGTCGCGAGGGAAGGGATTGCTGTACCCTTCTCGCGATAAAAATACCTCAGGCATGAACCGCAGGAGGGGGTCCAACCCCCCCCTCCTATGTGACCCCGGTTGGGTCGTCTAGCTGGTAGAAGTGGAGGATAGGGGCCAGAGGGGCAGACGACAGAGTCCAATGATGGGAGAAAACAAAAAATAATGTGTGTCTTGCGGCCTCTTTCGAAGCCACCACGCGCCATTATTCATGCTGGCTTCCTAGCCGTCCGAGCCCCTCACCCAGTTGACAACTGTAGGTTGGCTTGAAAAATCACATCTTTGTTTCGTGTTTTTTTTTTAGGTGAACAATGTGCCCATACAGTTTTCTGTTATTTTTTTTTGAGTGAAAAATGTGTTACACAGCGCTTTCGGGTACTTGCACGCATCGTACCACCGATTTTGAGAAAAAAAATACAATCCCAAAGAATGCAACAACCCCCCCCTCCCCCCCCCGCCCCCGGTCCTGTAGTTTCCCCCGCACGGGACACAGGTTCTCATCTCTGTTACCCCCCACCCCCCCCCTGTGTTTGCGATCGGGGTTGGGTTTTCGTCGCTTGGCAATTGTAAACAAGCCACCCCCCCGGTGTTTCCATCGGGATTGGAGTTTCGTCGCTTGGCAACGACGTTGAAAACAAGCCAATTCACTTCGTGAACTCGGCAACCAGGTTACCGGTT